AGTGAAGATAAATTGAGTAGACTCTTCTTAAAATAGTGCATGACATAGTGAATCTATTGAAGTGTTTGCAGGGCAGCCATGTTGCATAACTCTATGGAACACTTTCCACACCACAATCTACATGAATAGCACCCCCTAGAGTTGTGCAGTGTACAACCTTCAAAGTCACACAGTGGCCCTGACCCTTTGCTATTATTAATTATTATACTCTGCTTAGACTCATTTTCTCTTATTCCTTTTTGCTCCAGTATCCAAAAGTTATGCAGAAAAATATGTGCATGTGTTATCTGAAGTGCAAAATAAGAAATACCTTTTGTACACATGTAAGAAAATTAAAGCATTTTCTGTACTATGTGCCTTTTTAAATATTTTCCTTCCCCAAGCATGTGGAAAAACCTTCCAAATGAAGAGAATAAGGTCTATTCATTCAGGTAATAGCAATACACTTGGCCCAGGACCAAATCAGTTTCTTTAGGTTGAGAACATGCATACTTGCCAGCCTCAGCATTATTCTGTGATAGCCTGGAAGAAAGGAACAGTATTGAGAGAGGTCAAAAAGGGCTGCCCAGAAGTATGTCTAGTGGAATGTCTAGATCCCATCTCCAGAAACCAGGAACCGCTAACCACCTAACAGATCAAAGCAGAGAAACCTCCATTGTGCCAGTCCCCTCTGATGGACCATAATTTTTGCCTCATCAGAAACACGCAAAGACAACTGCCTTAAGAGCATGGAGAAACCAGTTCCCACCCCTTGAGTTCTAGCTGCTCCTTCCTTCTCAGTGTTCAAATCAGTGTCCTTACGTGGCTTACAAGTACAACTTCACAAACAGAAAGATAGTTTTCTAAAAAAAATAAATAAAGGGGAACATATGTATATGTATAACTGATTCATTTTGTTATAAAGCAGAAACTAACACACCATTGTAAAGCAATTATACCCCAATAAAGATGTTTAAATAAATAAATAAATAAAGGACAAAAATTAACTTTGGAAACTCAGATTCTTTTCAGACGGAGAATTCCTTTCCTCCAAGAAACTTGCATTTAAAACTCAGTTAACAAAAATCCTCTCAGAAGCTGAAGTTTGTTTTTTAATATTTACCACAAGGTAATTAAATAGCCATTCACAAAAGTCCAGTGAGGAAATGAAGATGCATTACCAAAAAGAGGAAGGATTTGCGCTTTTTTTTTTTGCCATTCCTAGAGGTTAAAAGCAAAAGAATTGCTCCTCCCCCCAAGTTATTATATAAAGATGCCTGGATAAGTGAGGATTATAATCCCTAGAATTGCAAAGAAAAAAAGGAGAGTGGGAGTAGTTTCTTTCACGCTGTTGATTTCTCCTACCTCACCACCCTTTGGCCCAAACCTACTGAAATACGTGACAGAGGCGAACACTAAATTCTGGACTGATCTCAACTTGCCATTGTCTGAAGTTGAAAAATAAGAAAGGAAGAGACAAAGAGAGGGAGGAAGGAAAGAAGGAAGGAAGTGAAAGTGGAAGGAAGGAAGGGAATGGAATGGGAGGTAAGACATTCAGTGTATTTGCTTTCTGCAGCAAATAATAGAAAATACCACAAGAGATGAGCCCTCCAGGGTGGATGTATCCAGGTCCAGCAGAAGCTTTCCATCTTCCCACTTCTCATCCTTCGCATATAGACCTTTATCCTCAGGATAATGAGGTGACCAAGCACCTGAAGAAATCTCATTCACATTTGAGGCAAAAGTAAGGCAAATAGGCCCAAAGCTTTCTAGTTGATGGTCTTTGTCTTTTTATTTGCAAAAGGAAGCCAGTCTTAGAATACTTCCCTCTATATCTCACTGGTAGAACTGTACCTGGTGATCACCACTGGATGAGACAGGTCTAGGGAATTTCAGATTTCCACTTCTGAGTTAGAGGAAAGCAAGGAAGATGATTGGGAATAGGTGTAGATTTGGCCAACCCAGCTCAGCAAAATGGACTGCAACAAATGCATTTAAAATGAAAGTAATTGAATTAAATTAGAAACCTTCCAGAATGTCCTGAACTGTTTTAGAGCAGCATCTGTGGTTGTAATGAGAACCTGACAATTAAATGCCAAGTCAAACAACACACTTGTTCATTCTTTATGCAGAGTAAGTATTATGGCTCTAAGAAATCTGGAGAAAAGGAGTATTTGCAATTCATTTGACTGGGGTATATTCCAACTTTTGTTATACTGTATGGCGTAGAGAGTAAGAACATGGACTTTGGAGCCAAAGAGGCTTAGGTTCAAATTCTGACTCTATCACTTATAAGCTGTATGACCTTGGATAAGTAATGGGTTAGTTTCTATAAAATCCTATTTGTTCGGGCTTCCCTGGTGGCGCAGTGGTTGAGAGTCCGTCTGCCGATGCAGGGGACACAGGTTCGTGCCCCGGTCTGGGAAGATCCCACATGCCACGGAGCGGCTGGGCCCGCGAGCCATGGCCTCTGAGCCTGCGCATTCGGAGCCTGTGCTCCGCAACGGGAGAGGCCACGGCAGTGAGAGGCCCACGTACCGCAAAAAAAAAAAAAAAAAACAAAAAAAAAACCTATTTGTTCAGAGTAGTACTTAAATCCGATAATTATGTAAAACACCATGGCAGAACCTGCCAACTGTGCTCCACTTCTTTCTTGGTGGTAGAATTGTACTTGGGAAATACCTGCCCAGCCATTGACTACATTTCCCAGACCTTCTGGCAGCCAGGGGCAGCCAGCTGACTAAACCCCACCGAATAGAATTTAAGCAAAATGACACTTCTTAGACCATAAACACTGCACAACACAATCCGCCACACTGAATTTCCACTTCCTGCTGACTGGAATGGCCCCAGAGGGACTGTTGGAGACCACACAGACTACTGTGCGCCTGAGCCCCTGAGTGACTGGAACAACTAGTCCAGACTCTTACCTGAGAGAGAAATAAATTTCAACATTCCTTAAGCCAATAATTTATTGTTCAGTCTCATTATAGTAGCTTAACCTACCTTAACATTGATCCTGGCACACAGTAAGCCCTCAATAAATTGTAGCTACCCCTCAAATAATCAGGAAGAAGGAAATGTCATTGTGTATATTTTTTGCTTTTGCAATGAAATCACGGTATTAACACGAATAAGCAACTGAGTCCCTCTGTTTCCCTGTTCTAAAATCTATAAAGTTATCTTTTAACAGACTATTGCATGTTTATTAAATTAACCTTTTCAAAGACCATTGAGCACCTAAGGCTAAATTCTAATAGTTTAGTGAAAAATAATATAAGAGTGAGTGTTGATACAATTACCACGTTACTCTTACACAAGAATTCTTAAGCAAAGACTGTTGTTATTGAGGAAATAATAAGAATACACTAATCTAAGAAAGATAAAGGAATAAAACCCTTAGGGGAACTCTCTGATCATATAGTTTCAAATAAAACTCTAGTGATTCAGTCAGAGCCATATTGACTTTAAGAAAATAGTAACTTAAGTAATCGTAACTGAGTTCCATTCAAGTAAAAATATTTAACATGCTCAAGGTTCAAATATATATATATATTTGTGTGTGTGTGTGTGTGTGTGTGTGTGTGTGGTACGCGGGCCTCTCACTGTTGTGGCCTCTCCCGTGTGGAGCACAGGATCTGGACGTGCAGGCTCAGCGGCCATGGCTCACGGGCCCAGCCGCTGCACGGCATGTGGGATCCTCCTGGACCGGGGCACGAACCCGTGTCCCCTGCACTGGCAGGAGAACCCCCAACCACTGCGCCACCAGGGAAGCCCGGTTCAAATATTTTAAATCATAGAAATAAATTACCCAACTACACAATGATAGGAGAATTTGGGGTTTTGTACATCTTTCACTTGTTAGTTTTTTTAATTCCCGAAGACTTTCTTTTCAGTAAAAGAATTTATGTAAAGTATGCCTCCTCTCTTTTGACCTCTACTCTCACAACAAAGTAGGAGACCGCTTTATAGAAAGTGAGTCATTTATATATGCATACATATCCCTTTTTTCCTCATAATTTATAAATCTAAATTTAGCTCTCCTGGCTCTGGGGAGCATTGTAGAGCAATCCTGAAGGAACTAACTTACTTGAAACAGAGAGTCATGGATTCTTTTGATGTATAGCAATTAGACGGGGGCATTTGATTAAAAAGAAAAAATCGGTGTAGACAGTTACCTTCTTACAGAAATCAATATATAAAAGTATAGAATAAAGGACGCACCTAATAAGCAACTTATTGCCTCAAGTCCAATATGAATATACTTTTCTTTTTTAAAAAGAGAAGTTAATCACAGGTTCCCTATTTTAAAGTCTTTTTAAAAAATATTTTCATGTTTATTTTCCTTTTGGACACTTTTTTTTAGGCCGTGCTGCACAGTTTGCGGGAGTCACCCCCCCCCCCCGCAATCAGGGATTGAACCCACACCCTCGGCAGTGAAAGCACAGAGCCCTAACCACTGGACTGTCAGGGAATTCCCCAAGGATTCCCTATTTTCAAGAAGTATATTAGTTCCCTAAGAAATGATCACCAAATGGTTTTTTTCCCTTTGATCCCTAGATATCTATATTTTCTGCCTTTAATATTTAGGATTAATATCTAGATTCATAAATATGTGTTCTTTTAGTGTGACAGATTGCCTTAAACTTTGACTTTTTCATCTTACCCACACTTTTGAAGTGAATTTATAAACATGTATTTAAATTTTGGCTACATTTCGATACTTTCAATATTTAATTGAATATTAGATAAACTATGATATATTCACATACTTCTTTAGCATCTATTAAGTGTACAGCACTGGGGAAAGCACCCCTAGCCCCCTTTAAAAAGATAGAACTACAAGGTAGAGCAATGGGCAAGACCTTTGAAACCTCCTGGTTGACCATCCTCTATTTCTGAGGAGGGAAAAAAAGTTGGAAGCAATTTTTCCTATATCCAGGATCACAAACCCAAGTCACAAAAGCCTAGCTCTTCTCATTCCCAGTTCAATGCTCTTAGTGCCTCAAATATATCATTTATTCATTCAGCAAAAATGTTTATCAAATATCAACTATTTGCTATTTCAAGTGCCAAGCACTGAGGATAAAATGAGGTGGGAAGTTTTTAAATTGCTTTAACAGCTGTTCTCAAAATGCTTCTCAGAGAGAGAATGGTCTTGGTTTGTGAAAATGCCTTGATAGAGGCTGAGGGTAAAAAGTAATCTTTAGGAGACTTAGAATTGGCTGAGCCAAAGCTTCAGGAAGAAAAGCCTGTTGATGATGCTGTTCAGACTTGGCAGTCGTACGGAGGCACACAATGAATTGCAGTTTTCTTCATCACTGTAAACAAAATGGAAACAACCAAAATACCTATTAAAATTAGAATAGAACATGACTTTTTGATGGCTATGCCATAAAGTACTAAGGAACAGCTTATAATAATGAAGTCAATAATATGTACTAACAGGGAAAACTCTTCCAGACATATTACCAATTGAAAAAGCAAGCTATGGAATAGCTCAGCCATTTCATACCAGTTATGTTAAACATACTCCAAAATACTCTATACTTTGCAAAGGAAATATATATACAAAGAGCAGTTATCTGGAAGGATACACACTAAGCAGACAGCAATGCTCACATCATCTCCGTAGGAGACCTAGATTCCACATGCTAGTCAAAAAAACTTGACCCATATCTTCAGAGTTTTAATTTTTACCAGGAGAATATATTTTTTTAACATCTTTATTGGAGTATAATTGCTTTACAATGGTGTGAGAATATATTCTTTTGTTGCTTATATAATCAAACTTTAACTATTTTAAAAATAATTTTAAAATGAAATGAACTGAAACACATATTTATGGATTTATGAATTCTTATTTATGGATCCTAAATTTAAATATTTTTTTAAAAAATCAAATTTAACTTGAAATATTTTAATAGCATTAAAGCAAAATATAAAGGATATTGACATACTAGTTGAATTTTAAGATCCATAATAGAATAAGCAAGAATATTTAATAAATAAGAATGGTTATTAAAGGAGATATTTGATACTCTTAAATTTTCTTAAAATACAGTTTCATAAAATTACTCTCATAGGTCTCACTTTCATATTTTATTAATTTATTAATATTTTTAAAAGAATATTTACAACCTAAAATGGTTTTGACCATGAAAAGGATTAGCTGTTGTGGTCTAAATATTTATAGCGGCATGAGATAAGTAAGACCTTGTAAAATCTAGCCCCTTTTTAGCTTTAAGAAATAGCAGTAAACACAAGAAGGTGATCTAATATGCACCCCAGTGTGGATCAAGAAATTTTACTTAGTTTATATGTCTTGGGGAAAATATATTAAAGTACAATTTTAATGAGAATTTTCAAAGCTATTTGATTTCCTTCCTCTTGATAATCAAGACTAAAACTGCAAGTCCCTTCTTCCTGTATAACAAAAGTATTCTGATCCTGTGAGAGTTTGTGGTCACTTCAGCACCACCTCTCTAACTATGAGTTTTACCTATAATCTTATCTGTATGAGATTATCTTGACTCAGTCTTAAGAAAGTTGTATTTAAAATTCTGAGATAGTAACTTCTGTGAATTACCTGTCACTGTGGGAAACATGGGGAATGAAGGACTAGATCAAGGCTGTTGAGATTTTTTAACTTGTTTTTCCAGAAATATCAGATCTGAACTTAACAATTATCCACGTAAATAGAAGGGAACAGCCAAAAGTTATTTCTATTTTAATGTGGAAGGCATTAGATAATTTCTGAAGTAAATTTGCCTCCTTAATTATGTTTGTTTACATTGACTCTAAAATGAGTGTGGTTTGTATTCCTGAGCATGTATGGATTGATTTTCAGAGAAGGTGCTCAGAAGTAAGACAGGAATACACATGGTTTTAATAATGACTGTGGATACCCTAGGAAGTACGTAATCCACACAAGGATAATAAAAGACCTTTTAGTTCACTCAATTATCTGGTTAGATAAATATAGACTAGCCAGGCTTCCCTTGTCCTTTTAGCACACTTTTGCGGGGCCTCCTTCCAGGTCCACAAGTATAGGCTCTAGGAATACATACTCATTGTCATTCCAGGTAAAATATTTTTTACAATCAGTGAATCATTAAACCCAGCGAAGGTCACTCACACTGTTAATATTTTCTTCAAGATATTCTTACACAAGACCCAGGAAAATAGGCAGACAAGAATTCAGTCTATGTGAGTAAGGACAATTACGAATCCTCAGAACCAAAGCTCCCACTATCTCTGTCCTTCCTGCCTTCATTTTTATCCTTTCTTCTTCTTTCATCCAGGTCTGAAGTATTCCCCACAAGGACCCAGGGCAGATCCCAGTTCTCCTAGGACATGACATGTTGGTTTTTCAAGGGAAATGCCTTCTCCTGAAGTTTTTTAAGGTTCCCCACCCCCCTGAAAAAAAAGATAGAATAAAAACTAAAGACGTTGAGAGACCACCTTTCTCCTTTCAACTTTAATTCAACTTCAGATTATTCACAAAGGCTCAAAGTCAAATAGTGTTATATAAGTGTTATATACAGTTAAAGGTAGGAGTGTGGGTAGATGGCAATCATCTAATTCAGAACAGTCATTTGTAAATGGGAAATGGAAATGGAGTCCCACAGAGAATGAGTGATTTGTTGTCTAAATGCACATTGTGAGTTGATGGCCAACTCTGATCACCTGGACCCAAGACCTTAAGACTTCCAGGGAAACCCTAACCAGAAAAATAAAATTAAGAACTATATTTAATATCTTATAATAACCTTAATGAAAAAGAATCTGAAAAAGCATATATATGTAAGTATATATATGTGTGTGTGTATATATATATATATATATATATATAAAATATATATGTAAAACTGAATCACTTTGCTGTACACCAGAAACTAACACAACATTGTAAGTCAACTGTACTTCAATTAAAAATAAGTTAAATCTCCTTCAGAAAATATTATATACTTCAGTATGAACCCTAAGACAAGTAGCTTGAGAACTATGTCTAATTTGGGTTTTTCTGTAGTGCAACTAGAAGACTACCTGGGGTTGACAATATTTCAAAATTTCTTTCCTAATTATGAACATCTATTTATCTGGATGACCTAGTCTCGTATTTTTCCAGTATATTCAAACTGAGTGTGTGAATCTTTGCAAAAGTAGTATTTCTTGAGTTATTTTTCCGGGCCCTTTTAAAAGTCCCACTGTGAAAACTATTCAAGCTAGAATATGCTAATAAAGAATGGAACTCTTTCTGCTGATAACATGGTTTCCATTAGAGCATAGTCTACATTTGTAGTTGAAAACCTTATTAGTTGAGTTACTATTGTATGATCAAAAATCCTTCACATTTGCAAAAAGAAGAAAAATATATTAGAATAAGGTCAGTTTGACAAAAGGGTGATATTTGCAAAGAGAGCCAAGGGTTATCCATCTAAAAGGCCAAGTTAAATAAGATACAATTAGACCTCATTTGGCCCCCTACCTCTCAGGATTAGTAAACTCACATTTCAGCTATCTTGGGGGTATGAGTTTCGCCTTAATTATCTTGTTTCCGTTGGCCCATCCACATTATTCAGACTTTTCTGACAGGCACTTTCAGCAAATATCACACTTCCTTGTGTCTTGCTGACCTTTTTTTCAAACTGGCTTTTCCTTTTCCTTCTTAAATGTTTTTGAAGAGATATCATATTTTATTTTGCTTAGAAAGATAAAATAAAGGATGAAAATGTATTCATCTACGTGGCCATGAGAAGAAAACAGACATCAACAACGGAATTTTTAGAAAAACATACTCCCAACCAGTTCTGAAGATGCAGTCTCGTCTACAAGATGTACATGGCCACTAAACCTATGGTCTCCTGCTACACAGTGTGATCTCAAAGACGAAAAAATTCAGAGAAAAATATCTGAAATGCCAAAAATTAGCACAATGGAAAAATTTAGACCAAAAATTTAAATTTCAAAGGTGCTGAATGTGAACTAACTTGAAGTGACATAACACATTACTACACTTCAAGAGGATCTGAAGTTACCAGAAGTCTCCAGCATTTCTACCCGTTACCTCCACATCAGTTTCCCACTCTGGATGCCTCTTACCATCTATTTTTTCTGCTCTCAAGTTGCCAAGACTCACACGAGAAAGGCATAAAGTGTGCTGACTACTACAGGTTCATTCTTTGTTAATACCTTCAGGGTGTAGAAACACATGGACTTTGACAAAAGACAGGCCCTCATCTCCACCCTATCTAGAGTCTCTTTCTGGTGGTCTTATTCCTTCTCACAGCCTGAAATGTCATCTCTTGGTGCCCTGTGTCACCACTACCTGTGCTGGACTGGGAAGCTCCCCAGATTTCACAACACCTGAATTTGTGTATAAGTTCCACCACTGACTAGCTGAATAACCATGAGCAAATTACTTGAATTCTCTGCTTCTCATTTTCCTCCTCAGTTAAATCAGGGTAATCATCTTTATCATGGAAAGTCACTGTGAGGAAAGGTATATAATGTCCATAGTATAGTGTCTGGTACATAAGTGGGTCATAATCATAATACTTCACTGTGACTCAGCAATTTTTCCTTTCTTTCTGTTTGACTTTATTGCATTCCTCACAGGAGGTACTCTAGACAGCTCCCACAGCCCTAAGATTCCCAGCTCTCCTTCTCACTCTTGGCCACCTTGATGTCTATACAACAAGGAAATCAAAGCCATCCTGCCAATGGTTCATGGCCCCCTCTCCAGCTGTCCCAACACCCTACCGAGCTCAGAGTTTCTCAGTACTTCACTCAGACTTTCCTTCGGACTGTCTCACAGGGAGAGGCACCTCCACCCCTTACCCAGGCATACTGCTTTACTGTGGTCTTGTCTCATACTTGCTTTTTCTATCACCTCTTATTCCCTTTCTCTCTCATGTGTTAGGGATTGAATAAATGTTTATTAAAAGTAGGTTTTCTTCCTACTCCACCAGTTCCTTCTTCTCTCTCTACAGTTGTCCAGGTATCCTAATTCAAAAATTAAATTCCTGAACTCTGCTCTCTTCTTGAGATAGTCCTCCCTCTGATCTTTTACCAAGTCCTCACTGTAGCAACATTTAGGGACTCAGGAGCCAGGCTGCCTCGTCCACTTACTAACTGTGGGTTGTCCTTAGACAACCAACTTAACCTGTGTGAACCTCAGTTTCTTTATCTCTAAGTGGAGGGGAAATAGAGTTGTTTTGAAGATAAGTGAGTTAAACCATCTAAAGCTCTTAAAACAGTGCTTGGTACATAGTAAGTGCTCAATAAATATGAGGTGTTAAACTTCCTCACCAACCACATACACCCCTTGCCTTCCAGCCATGCTTCCTCCATCCTCAGACTACCAGAGGCTTGAAATTTATTTCTTAAAGGTATTAATGGCCTCCTCATCTCCAAATGAAATATTATTTCTCATTTTGCCCCTCATTCTCCTTAAACTTTGTACAGTTTCACCCCACCCTCCTCTGGGATATCCCTTGTCTTGGGATAAGGGAGGAATTAACTGTATGCTTTTCCTATGACTCTCTCCTATTCAGGTATGAGACTTGAGAGTAGCTCTGCTCCAAGGGGGCAGAATGGAAGTGTGAGGAAGGAAGTAAAGACAGACACCCTAGGGTTTTTGGGTTTTTGTGGGTATTTTTGCCCTTCAGTCAAAAGTGTTGGTAGAAAGGCTGTGTGATCCTCCCCCTCCCTTGCCTGGATTGGGTTCTCAGAGTTGGGGAGAGGAGGAGCTCTAAAGAGAAATGTAAGATGATTAGGTGCAGCAGCCCTTTGGAAGGAGACATGGAACATATCCCGCACCTGCAGCCATCAAGGCTAAATCTACAGGGAGCAATAGAGTGAATGAAGCCACAGTAGGCTGACACAGCCCCCACCAAAGTTTCCTTTGGGCCCCTGAATGACTCAATAAGACAACAGTGCTCAACATTCCCATTCCCCAGAGAGATGAGGAAGTACTAATGGAAGACCATAAGATTCAAAGTGGTCTTATGGTCATGTTGAAAGGACTCAGCTGTGAAGGGCAGCATGGACCGTGGGACTGGAAACCCAGTGGGATCACAAACATCTCAGAGGACACTAGTGAGCTTGGAAGCTGGCAACTAAAACCTTGATCACAAGGCTAGGGCAAAACCCTACCAGGCCAGCCACACACCTCTCCCAGTGCTCCATAGACTACATGCCACACAGAGGAGAAAAGACAAGGAGTAACACAGCCTCCCTAGCACAGAAATTGTCCTGTAGTTCTTTGTTTACCTTAGTACTGTACACACAATCATCAACAAATTTGTGTTGAATTGAGTTAATGCATTTCTTTGCTTCCTTTTGTTTTAAATTAAAATGGCACAGAAATCATCCCCCCATCTTTTTTTTTTTCACCTTCACCTTAAATGACACATTAAAAAACAATATTGGTTCTGGATAGATGAAGAAAGGCTATGAGAGGACAAATTTAAGCATCAGTGCAGTACAGCTAAGCAACTAATTTGGTCTGGAATGTTCAATAAACCACTAGAGGGAGTGTGTAAAGGTGTGATTGAAATAGGATAAAAATTGCACTATGATGTTTAACTGGCAACCATGAATGCATGGTTGCCAGAAACAATCCTCTCTCCATTATTGAAAAAAAAATGTAAATACTTAAAGTTAGAGGGTGTGTAGAATATCTACATATTTATTTCAGATCACACAAAAGTGTAGTTCAGTCACTAGTTTATGTAGACACTGAATTTTTTAAAATATGAAATGTAGGAATTTATAGCCACTCTATGCTATTCAGCCTTAAATAGAAACTTAATATGAGTTAACTCCCAGTCCTAATGTTATATTTTAGAACCATTCAATTCAAAAATTATATGTTAAATCTCATCTCTCATTTCAAAATTGCAGAAGGAACTTTAGTGATCATTTTACAGTTGAAGAAAAAGAGGTCCAGAGTAGTTATCAATTATCCAAGTTCACATACCTAGCTAGTGGATAAACTCATACTAAAAACTTTGAGTCTAAATGAATAGAACATTTTAACAAGAAGGAAAGTTACACAGCAGATTTCCTATGTAAGATCCCAAGTAACAAAGTTTTCTTAGAACTTAGTGCATCCAGAAAATGCAAAATAAAATAATAATTTTATTCCTTACCGCTCAAGCTAAAAGAGAATTGGAATTTTTAAAATGATAATATACAGTATTGGGAAAGATACAGGGACATGGTTTTTCTCATTTATCTTGGTAGAAGTATAAACTGGTAAAATTTTTTTGGAATGTAATTTAACAGAAAGAATTTAAAATTTTGAAACATAGATTCACATAAAGATTTATATTCAGTCATGGTCATTGCCACATTTTATATAATAATGAAGTAATGGAAACTTTATAAATGTCTAACAATCAAGGAATAAATATATAATGTGCATCCAAAAGATGGCGTTCTATACAACCATGAAAAGTCATTATTCTGAAAACTGTTTAGTAACATAGGGAAATACATTGAGTATAAAATATATTACTTATATAGAAATACAAGTGTGTGTGTGTGTGTGTGTGTGTGTGTGTGTGTGTGTGTGTAGAATGAAAGAGAATTATTTTTAGCAATATAACTCCAAGTAATTTTCTCTTTATAATTCTTAGTGTTCTGGGTCACTGTAAGCAAGACAATTACAAGTCTTTGATTCTCAGTTAGAGAAAGTGACAGGAACGACTGCCACCTGGCTACTTCCTACTCATCTCACTGAAATTTTTTTAAATTTATTTTATTAAAGTATAGTTGATTTAAAATGCGTTAATTTCTGCTGTACAGCAAAGTGATTCAGTTTTATATATATATATATATATATATATACATTCTTGTTCACATTCTTTTCCATTATAGTTTATCACAGGATATTAAATATAGTTCCCTGTGCTGTTTTTTATCCATTCTATATGTAATAGTTTGTCAGTGGACATTTAGTTTGCTTCTATGTCCTGGCTATTGTAAACAGTGCTGCTATGAACATCAGGTACATGTATCTTTTCAAATTAGAGTTTTTGTCTTTTCTGGATATATGCCCAGGAGTGGAGTTGCTGGATCATATGGTAGGTCTATTTTTAGTTTTTAAGGAACCTCCATACTGTTTTCCATAGTAGCTGCACCAACTTACATTCCCACCAACAGTGTAGGAGGGTTTAAACTTGCTCTTGAAAAATTCTGTTGGTTTACCAGTGAAATCACTCTGCTTTGCTTGAAAATTACACTAATGCTTCAATGGTTTCATGTCACTGTATAAAAGTTTCATAACTGGCCTTGTACCAAAAATTAGGGGCATGTTGACTGCCAGTCCGATTAAATCCAATGTTCAGATATTTAATTCTTTACTCCTGATTCATCTTTTCCTATTTCAGCTGCCTGTGTGAAATCTTCAAAGTGCTAATTCATTTGTCTCAGACCATGAGAGTCACGTTTTTTAGTGACATGAAGTTGGAGCCTTTGTGTTTGATCTATTGATGCATTCTTGTGAACTATATATTTTAAAATATATAATAATAGCAACTATAAAAGCAAATTTCACACATGGATGTTAAATTTCAAAATTTGGAAAAATGTATGTAAACAGAATTGTTCCATTTTTCCCTCTGAAACCAGCTAGAGCTCTCCAGGAATAGCAAGGAGCTTCTAGGGAACAACAAAAAAAAAGAGTCCTTTTAGGAGGTATTCACTGAAATCATCAATGGTAATCTGCCTAGGATTCCACAAAAGAGATTGTGCACTGAGGAGACAGGTGGGGCAATCTTTAAACCCTTTCCAAATCTAAGATTCAGTTACAGGCAGAAAGCAAAGTAAGCTCTCTGTTGTAGCACAGGACTCTATAAAGTTTCCATGAATAACAAAAATTATCATAGAACTGATTGTAATCAAACCAGCAAAGCACCATCATTTCTATCTAATGGATCATGAAAAACGTATTGATCCAAAAATATTAATACTCCATGTATTAAAATAAAATCCTAACTGTATATAAAAAAGGAGCCCCAGTGGCTAAGGCACCTGAATAATCTCTAACAAGAAACATATTGCCTTAATTATTAACCTCTAGCAATAAAAATATGAGAGGAGCCAATTGGTCTTTTTTCTCCAACAGCTTTATCTAGTTCTCTAAAGGATGGCTGAAATCATCTAAGTAATATAAAAACTGGTGAAATCCTAAAAGGAAATTAGCAAATTTTAAGGTCAATATAAATTTCTTTCTTTTGGACTCAGTATATTTTGGTTTGTTTCGCTTTAGATGCTCTCTTTATATTTCCAAGTTTAAGTTATGGCTGTGAATAATAAATAGAGCACAGAAAAAGTGTTCCGCACTAATTTTTTTCCTCAAACACCTAAGATACTCTGTGTCCTAACATTGTAACTCTAACCTCTAATAATCCAGTCAAATTTTATTACAACATTTTTGGTTTTAAGAAATGTTAGAAACCAAGAAAGGGCAGAAAGAATCAATGAATATAATGATAAATAATGGTGAGTAATGAATATAATGGTAGGAATATTTAACAAAACCTTCCTTTTGGTAACACATTACCAACCAATATAGCAAATTTACTTAGATAAAAACAAAATATCTGAATTTTTAAAGTCCATACTATAGTTTTGAGATAACATGAATTTTCTACCATATACAAATACTATTTACTTCTTAAATGGCTCTAAGCAGTGTTGAGGAAAGTGAGTGAAAAACCTCATGGATGAATTCCCAAAGACCTCCTGGCTGGATACATTTCACCAAATTTATGGGCATAATTTCCCTTTCTTGTAGAGTTCTTCCCTTAGACGAAGTATGTAGTTCCAGCTTCGTGAAAGAGTGTTCCCTTTTCTCCACACCCTCTCCAGCATTTATTGTTTGTAGATATTTTGATGATGGCCATTCTGACCCGTGTGAGGTGATACCTCATTGTAGTTTTGAGTTGCATTTCTCAAATGATTAGCGATGGTGAGCATCCTTTCATGTGTTTGTTGGCAATCTGTATATCTTCTTTGGAGAAATGTCTATTTAGGTCTTCTGCCCATTTTTGGATTGGATTGTTTCTTTATTTGATATTGAGCTGCGTGAGCTGCTTGTATATTTTGGAGATTAATCCTTTGCCAGGTGCTTCTTTAGCAAATATTTTCTCCCATTCTGAGGGTTGTCTCTTCGTCTTGTTTATGGTTTCCTATGCTCTACAAAAGCTTTGAAGTTTCATTAGGTCCCATTTGTTTATTTTTGTTTTTATTTCCATTACTCCAGGAGGTGGGTCAAAAAGGATCTTGCTGTGATTTATGTCAAAGAGTGCTCTGCCTATGTTTTCCTCTAAGAGTTTGATAGTGTCTAGCCTTACATTTAGGTCTTTAATCCATTTTGGGTGTATTTTTGTGTACAGTGTTAGGGAGTGTTCTAATTTCATTCTTTTACATGTAGCTGTCCAGTTTTCCCAGCACAACTTATTGAAGAGGCTGTCTTTTCTCCATTGTATATTCTTGCCTCCTTTGTCAAAGAAAAGGTGACCATATGTGCGTGGGCTTATCTCTGGCTTTCTATCCTGTTCCATTGATCTATATTTCTGTTTTTGTGCCAGTACCATTCTGTCTTGATTACTGTAGCTTTGTAGTAGAGTCTGAAGTCTGGGAACCTGATTCCTCCAGCTCCATTTTTCTTTCTCAAGATTGCTTTGGCTATTCATGGCCTTTTGTGTTTCCATACAAATTGTGAAATTTTTTGTTCTAGTTCTATGAAAAATGCCATTGGTAGTTTGACAGGGATTGCATTGAATCTGTAGATTGCTTTGGGTAGGATAGTCATTTTCACAATGTTGATTCTTCCAATCCAAGAACATGGTATATCTCTCCATCTGTTTGTATCATCTTTAATTTCTTTCATCAGTGTCTTATAGTTTTCTGCATACAGGTCTTTTGTCTCCTTAGGTAGGTTTATTCCTAGGTATTTTTTTGTTGTTGTTGCAATGGTAAATGGGAGTGTTTCCTTAATTTCTCTTTCATATTTTTCATCATTAGTGTATAGGAATGCAAGAGATTTCTTTTCATTAATTTTGTATCCTGCTACTGTACCAAATTCATTGATTAGCTGTAGTAGTTTTCTGGTAGCATCTTTAGGATTCTCTATGTGCAGTATCATGTCATCTGCAAACAGTGACAGTTTTACTTTTTCTTTTTGAATTTGGATTCCTTTTATTTCTTTTCCTTCTCTGATTGCTGTGGCTAAAATTTCCAAAACTATGTTGAATGATAGTGGTGAGAGTGGGAAACCTTGTCTTGTTCCTGATCTTAGTGTAAATGGTTTCAGTTTTTAACCATTGAGAACATTGGCTGTGGGTTTGTCATATATGGCCTTTATTATGTTGAGGTAGGTTCCCTCTATGCCTACTTTCTGGAGGGTTTTTATCATAAATGGGTGTTGAATTTTGTCGAAAGCTTTTTCTGCATCTACTGAGATGATCATATGGTTTTTCTCCTTCAGTTTGTTAATATGGTGTATCACATTGATTGATTTGCATATATTGAAGAATGCTTGCATTCCTGGGGTAAACCCCACCTGATAATGGTGTATGATCCTTTTAATGTGCTGTTGAATTTTGAATTCTGTCTGCTAATATTTTGTTGAGGATTTTTGCACCTATGTTCATCAGTGATATTGACCTGTAGTTTTCTTTTTTTGTGACATCCTTGTCTGGTTGTGGTATCAGGGTGATGGTGGTCTCATACAATGAGTTTGGGAGTGTTCCTCCCTCTGCTATATTTTGGAAGAGTTTGAGAGGGTTTGGGGTTAGCTCTTCTCTAAATGTTTGATAGAATTCGCCTGTGAAACCATCTGTTCCTGCCGAGAGCCCTGTTTCTTGATAGATGTTTTACCCCTACAAATGCAGTTTACTTAAGTCCCTAATTCGTTACTCACATTTTCAGGGTGACTTAATAGATGCCAAAGCTTCTGTTAAAATTAGGTCTATGACAAGCAACAATTGTGCATTTGTAATTTAAAATAACTGTTTTGAAGTTTGGTTTCTAATAGGTTAAAATTTTGCCATTTTCAGGCATTATGTAGACGTTGAAATAGTACTACCTATTGAATGCCAGTGAGGATGTATATTTGTTACATAGAACTTTTTTTACGTAGCTCCATAGAACTATTTTAGAAACATGAAGACAAACATGTACTCAAGGCCAAAATAATTCCAAAAGGCCTAAGAATCAGGCCAGAGACCTATTAGAAATTAATCAATTATGTTTTTTTGTTTATGGGGCTGAGTATACTTTATTGTTTGGTGGTTTTTTTGTTTTTGTTTTTAGTTTTCAAAGAAATCTGATCCTAGAAGTAGCAAAACACCTATGTGATTTGCCAGGAATATTTATGCTGTTAAATGCATCAAAGAGTAAAAGCCAGATAGAATCTGTTAGAGATTTCCCAGGATTACCTGACGATTTGGGGATCATGGCATTCTAGAGCAATCACGAACTCTAAATTTTGTAAACAAAGTTTAAAGTGATATTTTTCTAGGTGTTGTGTAATCTTTGAACCTCACTTTACTCATCCCCAAAAGGGATATCCTAAAGCCTCAAAAGATTAGAGATAATATATTTAAAATGCATAGCATGTGGTGGCCACTGTACTGTATATGAATGGGGAAAAGGACATAACAAAAGCTGCTGAGGGAGACATCAAAATTCTCATTCACAAACTGTTTTGAAGTCAGATCTTACGGTAATGAAAAAAAAAAGTAAGTAAAAAATCATGTAAATTAGGATAATCCATTGGGGAGGAGGAGGAGAGGGAAAAATAGTCCAAGCCCTCTCTGACAAAATTTTAAATCTCTATTCTGTAGTAATCTGGAGGTTTGATCTTAAAGTCATATTTGCAGACCTCCAAGAGCGTAGATCCAGTATGGTGTTGTAGCCAAAAGTTAAATAAAACCCCAGGCCTTGTCAGGAAAGGATATTGGATACAGAAGAGTATCTCATCTCAGAACTGCCTTATATGGAATAATGCATAGAGTTCTGGTTGCTAAACTAAACTATAATATAGAGTCAAGAAAAATAAAAATCCAGAGAAGGATATATAAGAAGCTTGTGACATACAAGTTTTGATTAAAAAGTATACATATCAGAATGCTTTCGAAGTTCAACTCAATCACCTTTAATGGGAGGAAGTACCCAAGCAATGCCTATGATCACCTCTTAAGTCTTATTACCATTTTCTTCCTTTTTAAAAATGTTTATTTTGAAATAATTTTAGACTTAGGGAAAAAGTTGCAAAAGGCTTCCAGTATACCCTCACCCAGCTTCCCCAAATGTTAATATCTTACATAACCATAGTATAATTATAAAAACCAGAAAATTAACATTAATATTATACAATTAACTCATCTATGGTACTTATTCAAATTTCACCAGTTGTCCCACTAATACTTTTTTCTGGGTCCCATCCAGTAGCTCACATTGCATTTAGATGTCATATCCCATTTTCTCCTCCAATCTGGACAGTTCTGTACTCTTTTCTTATCTTTCTTAACCTTGACATTTTTGAAGAGTATTGGCTAGTTGGTAGCATGTTTCTTAATTTTGGTTTGTCTGGTATTTCTTCATGATGAAATTCAGGTTATGCAATTTTTGGCAAGAGTAGCACAGAATTTATGTTGTGACCTTCTCAGAGCCCCTTATCAGGAGGAACTTGATGTAATAAGGCTCATTCCTGATGATGTTCACTTTGATCTCTTTGTTAAGGTCAGGTCTACCAAGTTCCCCCACTGCATTAATTCCTCACTGTAACTAATCAGTATTTCATGGAGAGATACTTCTGAGCCTCTGCAAATATCCTGTTTCTCATCAAATTTTCACCCACTAATTTTAGCATCCATTAATGATCCTTGCCTAAAATGGCTATTACTGAGGTGTCTGTCAAATGGTGATTCTCTATTTCCTTCAGTGCTTCTACATTCAGTCATTAGAATTGTACTATAAGGAAGAACTTATATTTGATTTTTTTTTTTTTAACTTTTTGGCCTCACCACACGGCATGCGGGATCTTAGTTCCCTGACCAGGGATGGAACCCGCACCCCCTGCAGTGGAAGCACAGAGTCTCAACGGCTGGATGGCTAGGGAAGTCCCTATTTGATTATTTATATCAATATGGACTCATGAATATTTATTTTATCTTATGGGTTGTAATTAATTACTTTAAATTTTTTTGCTCAACTGTTTCAGATTTGACCATTAAGTTACTCCTTCCAGTCGGTTCCTGTGTCTTTTTTTTTTTTGCATTTAAAAAAATTTTTTTAATTGAAGTATAGTTGATTTATAATATTCCTGTGTCCTTTTGACATGACTGCACATCACTTTCTGAGCACCTCCTTACTTTCTGGCACCACAAGATATTTCAAGCTGATCTTGTGCTTTTCCTGCTCCTGCCCTAGAATCAACCACTTCTCCAAATAACCATTCTCTGTACAGAAAGGGAGAGAGTTAAACAGAATATTTCTAACTGTAGAGTTAGTCCTGAGTTTTTCTTATGTTTAAGCTTCTTTCTGATTGTAATACTTGCAGATTGTGTAGATTAATTTTATGTGTCAACTTGACTGGACTAAGGGATGACCAAATAGCTGAAAAAACATTCTTCTGGGTGTGTCTGGGAGGATGATTCTGGAAAAGATTAACATGTGAATCAGTAGACTAAGTAAAGAAGATCCCCCTCACCAATGTGGGTAGGCATCATCTAATTCATTGAGGGCCCCAGTAGAGGAAGAGTGAATTTGCTGCCTCTGCTTGAGCTGGGACATCAGTGCTTCTGGTTCTTGAGCCTTCAAACTTGGATGGAATTACACCATGGCTCTCCTGGTTCTCCAACTCACAGATGGCAGATTGTAGGACTTCTCCATCTTTATAATTATGTGAGCCAGTTCCTTATTAAATATATATAATATGTATATACACACACACAAACACACACACACACAGGTGTGTGTATACATATATAAAATATTGGTTCTATTTCTAAGGAGAACCCTTACTTTCTGGCAAGGATACCAAGATCCTTGCCAGAAAGTAAGTTATTTGAAAAAAAAAATTTTTTTAAATCTTACAGGACCATTTTAAACTTTGGCTGAGGCAAACTTTGTTGCAATTTCCCCAGCTAACTTCTGGCCTCCTTGTTATTATATTTCCTCATACATCAAGAAATAAGGTTTCCTTGGAGACCAGCAGTTTCCATCTACCATTTCAACAAAATATTGAATTATGTGATTCTTGGTAGAGAGTAACAAAAGCTCTCTTTTTAAGGGATTATTTTCAACATTCAGAGAGTTCCAAAGGGTTAGCTAAATCTCTAGTCTGAGTATTTTGGAGGATAACATATTTCAGACCCAATGAAGAAAACTGAGGAGCCAACATAACTCATTACTGTAGGGTTACAGACTTCAGATTTTTAAAGAAATATGATTTAGATTCAAGTAATGTAGCAAAAATTGCTAGCTCTTTCCAACATCCATTCTACTCTTCTTTCTTAATTGGTGGAGCCCCAATATGTTAACTGGGCACATAGCCACCCAGAATAAAGCTATACTTTCTAAGCTCCTTTAAATTTAGGTGTGACAGTGTGACCAAGTTCTGGCCAATGGGTTATGAGTAAAAGTCACACTTACAGCTCCCTGTTTATATTCAAAAAGAAATGGGTCATGCTCTTCATGTCCCCTTTTTCTTCTTCCTGATGGCTGGGACATGTACATTCCAGCAAGAGCTAGAGAAGCCATCTTGGGCAAAAACATGAAAGTCATATGTTAAAGAAGTCACATATTAAAGTCAACATGATAGAAGGGACCTAGGCCTTAACATCATAGAGGTGCCATATTAGGTATGATCAGCTTACACAGGCTGCAACATGAGAAAGAAATAAACTTCTTCTTTCTTAAGCCACTGGTATTTGGTGACCTTTGTTTCAGCAGTTAAACCTATATTTAACTAATATAGAGTTACTATCTAAAAGTGGTACTGCTATAACAAAAGACATATGTGATATTAACTTATCACTTGGGTATAAAGCAGTAAAAACTCAGATAATCCAGGGTGGAAAGTTGGTGACTCTTGTTATGCTGGCACAAATATTTGGTTAAACTGTGGCCTGCCATACTTTGGGAGATAAGCCACAAACTCTTAGAGCCTATACCTTTAAGAGAATTAGTTAGAAAAACTGAGAATCTTTCTGTGTATTGGCTACTCCTTGCCACATTAAGGAAAGTTTTAAAAAAGAGATGATGAAGTCAGAGATGGTTTCCCATCAGAAAGAAGAAAAATCAATTTCATTAAAAGAGCCCTTCTCGGGACTTCCCTGGTGGCACAGGGGTTAAGAATCCACCTGCCAATGCAGGGGACATGGGTTCAAGACCTTGTCCGGGAAGATCCCACATGCCACAGAGCAACTAAGCCCGTGCACCACAACTACTGAGCCTGCGCTCTAGAGCCCATGAGGCACAACTACTGAAGCCTGCATGCCTAGAGCCCATGCTCTGCAACAAGAGAAGCCACCACAATGAGAAGCCCACGCACCACAACGAAGAGGAGCCCCTGTTCACCCAACTAGAGAAAGCCCATGCACAGCAACGAAGACCCAACATAGCCAAAAATTAAAAATAATTAATTTTTTAAAAGAGGCCTTCTCTGTTTTGTCTGAATTCTAAGTTGAGTAGAGTATGGTAAGTGGGCCCTCAAATGGTTGGAAAAGCTAACTCTTCTGTACCAAACACTGAAACAATAATAAGAGTTAGCTCTAAAGAACAGCTGTAAGAGGAAGTTAGAATGTGGTCCCCAACTTTCTTAAGCATAGGACTGCACACCCAAAACCAAGGCCCCCACAGCTACTTCTGAGCCCAGATTCATCCCTGTCTCCAGTGACTAGCCTGAACCACTGGGCTTGCCTACAGCTGGCCCCTCCATCTATGCACCTGCATGCTCTCAGCCAAACTTCCAACAGTGGCTTCCACTGCTGTGCACCTATGGTGATTCCCTGCAGCTAGGTCTCCCATAGCTGTTTGTGAAAGAAACTGCCAACCAAGAACACTTTACCTAGTAAAGTTTTCCTTCAGAAACGAAAGCAAGATAAAGATTTTCCCAGACAAATGAAAGTTGAGGGAATTCATCACCATTAGACCTGCCTTACAGGAAATGCAGAAAGGAGTTCTTCAAGCTGAAAGGAAAGGATGCTAAGTAATAACATGAAAACATATGAAAATATACAACACACTGGTAAAGGTAAGCATATAGTCAGATTCAAAATACTCTAATATTATAATATGGTGATGTGTTAACCACTTAAGTATAAAGGTTAAATAACAAACGTTTTACAAATAACTATAGCTACAATAATTTGTTAGCAGATGCACAATATAAAAATATGTAAATTGTGGCATCAAAAACATAACATGGTTGAGGGGTTGTTAGTAAAAATGTAGAGTTTGTGTATGTGATCATAGTTAAGTTGTTATCAGTTGAAAATAGACTTGTATCTATAAGATGTTTCAAGTAAGCCTCATGTTAACCACAAAACAAAAACCTATACTAGATACACACAAGATAAAGAGAAAGAAACAAAGTATATCCCTACGGAAAATTATAAATTCACAAAGGAAGGTGGTGTGGAAAAAAAGGAACAGAGGAACTACTAAAAGGCCTGAAATTGACAAGATGGCCATAATAAGTCCATACCTACCAATAATTATTTTAAATGTAAATGGATTAAATTTTCCAATCAAAAGACATACAGTGGCAGGTGAAAAAAAAAAAAAACCCAGCTATATGCTGCCTACAAGAGATTCACTTCAGCTTCAAGGACACACATTGGGGGAATTCCCTGGCAGTCCAGTGATTAGTACTTCATGCTTTCACTGCCAAGGGCTCAGGTTCTTTCCTTGGTCGGGGAACTAACATCCCACAAACCAAAAAAAAAAGAAGGACAAACATTATGTCAAAGTGAAGTTATGGGGAGAGATATTCCCCACACATGGAAAACAAAAGAAAGCAGATGTAGCTATAACTATATCAGACAAAATAGAATTTAAGTCAAAAACTGTAACACAAGGCAAAGAAGGTCATTATATAATGATAAGAGGGTCAATTTATCAGGAGGATATAACAATTGTAAATATATATGCACCCAGCATCAGAACACTTAAATATATTAAGTAAATATTAACAGATCTGAAGGAATTAATAGACAGCAATACAGTAATTGTAAGGAAGTTCAATACTCTACTTTCAGTAATGGATAGATCCTCCAGACAGAAAATCAATAAGAAAACATTGGACCTAAAGGATACTTTAGACCAAATTGACCAAACAGATCTAATAGAGATACATAGAACATTCCACCCAACAGCAGCAGAATGCACATTCTTCTAAAGCATACATGGAACTTTCTCCAAAATAGATCATACATTAGATCACAAAATAAGTCTTAGCAAATTTTAAAAGATTGAAATCATACCAAGCATCTCTTTTGACCACAATCAATAAGAGGAGAAAAACTGGAAAGTTTTCAAATATGAGGAAATTTAACAACACACTCCTGAGCAACGGACAAGTCAAAGATAAAATTAAATGGGAAATCAAAAAATATCTTGATACAAACAAAAATGAAAACATATGGGCTGAAGCAAAAGAAGTTCTATGAGGAAAGTTTATAGTCTCTGTTAAGAAAAAAAGAAAGATCTCAAATAAACAGCCTTTATACATCAAGGAACTAGTAAAACAAGAACAAACACATCCCAAAGTTAGCAGAAGGGAGGAGATAAAGATCAGATCCGAAATAAATGAAATAGAGACCAGAAAAGATAGAAAATATCAGCAAAGCCAGGAGTTGATTTTTTGAAAAAGATAATAAAACTGACAAAACTTCAGCTAGACTTACCAAGAAAAAAAGAACAAGAACTCAAAATAAAATTATAAATGGAAAATGAAACATTGCAGCCAATACCATAGAAGTACAAAAGATCATAAGAGACTGCAATGAAGTATACATCAACAAATTGGACAACCTAGGGAAAAAATGGAAAAATTATTAGAAACATACACCCAATCTACCAAATCTGAATCATGAAGAAATAGAACATCTAAACAGACCAATAACAAGTAAGGTGATTGAATCAGTAATTAAAAACCTCCCAAAAAAGAAAAGTGCAGGACCAAATGGCTTCACTGGTGAATTCTACCAAACACTTAAAGAAGAATGAATCCCAATTCTTCTCAAACTCTCCCCAAAAATAGAAGAAGAGACAACATTCCCAAACTCATTTTACAAGGCCAGCATTACCCTGATACCAAAGCCAGCAAAGGACACTACAAGAAAAGAAATCTACAGGCCAATATCCCTGATAAATATAGATGTAAAAATTCTCTATAAAATACTAACATACCACATTCAACAGCATATTAAAAGGACCATACACCATGGTCAAGTAGGATTTATCCCTGGGATGCAAGGATGGCTCAACATACATAAATCAATAAATGTGATACACCTATTAATAGAATGAAAGACAAAAATTATCTGATCATCTCAATAGATGCAGAAAAAGCATTTGACAAAATCAACATCTTTCTGTGATAAAAGCTCTCAACAAATTGAGTATAGAAGAAACATACTTGGGAATTCCCTGGTGGTTCAGTGGTTAGGACTCTGCACTCTCACTGCCAGGGACCTGGGTTTGATCCCTGGTTGGAGAACTAAGATCCTGCAAGCCACACAGTGCAGCCAAGAAAAAAGATGTAACATACTTCAACATAATAAAAGCCATACACGGCAAACCCACAGCTTACATCATACTCATTGTGAAAGACTGAAAGACTTTCCTCTAAGATCAGGAACAAAACATGGAGGCCCACTTTCACC